TATTTTATTACGTTTTCATTTTGTCTTCATTTGTATTTTGTCTTCCCATTTTGAATGTATCTGAAACTTTATTGTATTTTAAAAATCCAGATCCTGAACAGAATATTATTTCAATAAAGGCATTATTATTATGATAAAAGTGAAGACGCCAAAAAGAATGATGCAGGTAACACCTGCCGAGTGGTGGTGTCTGATGTGGTGATGGTGGTTAGGTAAAAATTAAGTATCTGTCTAAAACTAAAACTCAGATTTCTCTAAGTTAACTGAGAGGCATAAGATTTGATAAACACTGTAATATTTTACCGTATTACCCCAGGCACGCGCCCAGGGGCCTGAACATACAAAATCGGGAAAAATTGGGGGTGGGCGCTTACCCGAGGACCACCCCAAAAAAGATTTTAAAAAGTTGTTTTTGTGATCGTATGATAAGGTCAAATAAAGGAATGCTTTCGTACACTTTGTACACGTACTTATTTCTTGATTTATGCGAGGTTTCAATAAACGTGAGCACTCGGTCAAGATCTGTGGGAACACTAAGACACAGGGTCGAATTTCAAGAATGAAACTTGTGTTATGTCAGCGAAGTTGTATTGTATTGTATGAAGTTGTATTACTCACTGAAATTGACTACAAACTATGGTAAATATTGTAATCAATGCACGGTTACATTTTTAGTAACCGTGATCAGTGCAAGTCGAAACGGCCGGGAAAAACTACCGCTTGTAATCCAAGAAGGTGATGACCTCATTAGCATAATTTTGTTCACGCACGTATTGATACATCGCATCGTAATTACTGAAGAATAGCAGACAGGGTTATGAAACAAAAAAAACTTTTATTACTGATATGTTTACAAACAATTGTGAATACATAAACATATCCCAATGGCGATACATAAAAAACAGACTGAAAATAAACTCTGGTCGACCTCATGATCATGATTTATTCACGCACCCACACACAAGACAAAATGCAAAATTATGATGCAACAAGTCCCCAA